ATGTGAGTTACACACAAAACTTGCAGAATTTTATTGTTATCATTTGTTCTTCTGTTGTGGTTCTTAAAGTAGCACTTTGCACAGCTGTTCACACAGTTATTTTCAAATAATTGCACTATGACTTTATTGCAAAGCTAGCTCAAGGCTTCATGTTAAATTTTATAAAACTTCTTTTCTTTACCTTGTGTAGCAAGAAAGAGTTGTGGAGATCAATTACTAGATGTATTTCATCCTGTCCTTCAGTACATACTGTCCCAGGCACCCAAACAGTTAATCCTCTACAAAGCTGTAGCCTGGATAGCTTGCCACAGCTCTGTCTGGAGCAGAGTTGTCTGCTATCTTAAATAACAGGTAACTTTGTGCTACAACATACAAAATTGTCAGCCAAGCTGGGTCAATGGCTTTGGCTAGCTGGCCTGCTGAAATTCTGAGGGGAAAACCCAAAGAAAAGTAGGTATTTTTCAGACCTGGCAGTTATTTGAGGGAAGGTGGAATGAGAAATCAATTTACTCTGAAAAGTTTGTGGTAGAAACTTTTCACCCTACTGAAATATGTCCAGCATCCTCTAAATGTTTTGGGAAAATGGTGATGTTTTTCATTGGTCTGAGGCTTGATATATGAAAGATTCCTTCGCAGGCAAAAGGTGGAGGTCCTGTAGCTGCCTGGTTGCCTGTCCTGATCCAGATGATGGCCATCTGACACTTGGCCATCAGATTTCCCATTTTCCATCTCTGCCAGTTCTGCTCTTGCTGAACCTCTTCCATACAGGGGTTACAGGGGTTGATTTTTGCCTTTGTGCATGGGGGGAAAGTACAGAGGCAAATGAGGCAGGCAAGACTGTACGTCTGGCAAGGAAATCCTTGTTTTCCCACCAGCTCCTTCTCTTTGTTCCATTTAAAACAATTGCTAGCTGGAAAGCAAAAGGAAGAATGAAGGACTTAGAGAATGGGAGTGCTTTCTTTCTTGCTTTCTTTTGCAGTGTTTTTTACTGTTTAAAAATGTTTAAAAATAAGTAAATAAACTTGAATATTATAAGGAGGTTTGGGGGTTTTGTATTTTAAATGCATTTGTTTCTAGCTAACAGTTAGATGACCACTTGGATAATCACAGGCTAGCTGTATCCTTGTGGAGCAAAAGGAATGGTTGTTTTTGAGCTTCTGTATCTGAATTGCCACATGCCATTAAAGGAACCATTCCTATACAAGCTGCTGTGTGTCAAAAATTAGCAGTATTTAAATAAAAAACAAAGAAACCACCAAACAAAATTAAGTGGATGGAGAGGGAGGCAGGAAAGAGTTCATTTCTGCTTTGACAGATTAGGATTGGGCAGTAAATTACTAACAGACCAAAATGCTTTTGAAGTGACATTTTCTCTTTCCAAAAATTCTATCACAGCTTGTCAAAAAACTGATTTAGACAGGATTGTAAAGGAGTAGGTAGAAAGAAACAGCATAAAACTCAGGTCATAGTTTAGCTTTGAGTTGGCTGTAGGTGACTTCAGCAATTGCTTTCTTAATTTTTTTACACCACTGTGCTTGAATTACCTGCTGCTTGAAGCATCAGTCAGCATGTTTACAGAGTATTCCTTTTGCCATCTTCCAGTCTACCCCTTGTCTTTGGTTTTATGACAGTATGCTGTGGGAAGGGGATACTTAAAGCAAAACTTGAGGTAGTCATGTATTTTATTCATGTTCAGAAGTCATCTGTAGGAGGTGTATTGACATTCAACAAACCAGTTAAAATTTACCCCATGATACAATTTTGCATTATTTCCCCAGCTCAAAAATTGATTCAAACTTGATTCATTGCTTAAGCTTACAGTGTCACAGTGACCAAACTAATGAGTAGTTATTCCATGTCACATTACATCATGCAGAAGAACTAGCTTCATGTTGCAGACAGACTCCTAAAAGTTTCAGCTGCATTAGCAGGTAGGGCATGGAATCGAGCCTAAGCTGGGAACTTTCTCCTGCCAGCTCTTGCTGCGTCAGGTTGTCTTTGAGATGCTGTTTGTGTTGCTATTGCAGGTGCCTTGTGTGGCAAACTGTTTCTTGATGCTGCACTACAGTTGATAGTGGTTGGATGTACAATTCCTGATCATTCAAGAACAAATAGCTGAGAACCTGCTACATAAAATTTTACTTCTCTGCACCTTTTTATGTGAGAATAAATATTCAACAACATTACACATCTGCCAAAACTGTCTCTCTTTAGCTTTCTGGGCTGTTTTGACATCTTCTAGGCAGCAATTCATCCCTGCACTAGAGATAAACAGCTGTAGACCAAAGAGAGTGTGGCAACATATAATTAGTTATATTTTGTGGCATCTGTAGGAGCATACTGTCAAATACCATTACTCTGTCAAGACAGGATTTGCAGTAACAGTCATTAAGTTTGCCTTAGGAGATCATCTTATGTTTATGTTGATAGTTAATTGTTCTCTGAGGTGAGGTATAGCTTGAAATAATTTCTTCTTATTTTGGTCACTTGATATTGTGAGTTTAATCAGTGAATGAAGATATTTTGCAGTATTTCTTGTGTTGCAGTGATAATGCAGGGGTGCAGTATGGGGTAGACTTTGAAATGCTTCCTCCAGATGATCCAGTGTGTGCTTATCCAAGCTCTGTTTCATGGAAGTTAGGATCTGAGCTTGCTCAGTAGACAATAGACACAACAGTTAATCTAGAAAAACTTTACTTCTATACAAGCATGCTTCATTAGGGATTCAGAAAGAAAGTAGGTTGAATATTTTACCATGCCAATATTGCTGGTATTTTTAATGTGTTGTTACCAGAGTACGTGCTTATCTTAAAATGAATGTAATGTTTTAATGTGAAGGATATGCTTGTGCTTTGAAGACTTACCTACTTTTCATTTTTTTATTGCTCAATACACTGTTGAAAAGTAAGGGATGACTTTCACAAGGATAATTCAAGCCACTTATGTATGCTTTTGCCCTACTAGTCTGTTTTTTTCTCTCTATATATATATGTATATTGGAGGTCAGAAAGCAAAGGTTTTCTTTGACAAGTGATATCTGAGTATGGGAAGGAAGTCTTCAAAAGGAGGCACATTCCTCTTATCTTTCAGTGTTCTCAGCTAGTTGAAAGCAGGTGATAACTTCATAGTTGATACTTTTTCATACAGTGATAGGACAAGGGGAAATGTCTTTAAACTGTAAGAAGGTAGGTTTAGGTTAGAGCTAGGAAACAGAATCTCTACTGTGAGGGTGGTGAGGCACCGGAACAGGTTGCCCAGAGAAGCTGTGGAAGTCCCATTGCTGAAAATGTTCCAGGCTGGATGGGGCTTTGTTCAGCCTGGTCTGGTGGGATATAGGTGATCTTTAAGGTCTCTTCCAACTCAAACCATTTATAAATTTATATTTTTTTCCTACTACGTGTAATTCATATACAGCTTGTGCTATTTAAGCAAGTACAGTTGCATTTAAATGGAGAAAAAGAAAATTTGTTTGTTCTTGGATTTTTTTTTTAACTTGAAAGTCAAGGGTGCTTCTAAGCTGTTTTAAGTAAGAAAAGGAGGAGAAAGTTCATTATGTCAGAGATACTCTGAAAGTTAAAGCTCCCAGCAAACGGCTAAGAGAAATCATTATGTGGTCAAAGTACAGATTATTTTTTAATGCTGTGATTTGCTAATGCTTTTAATAGTAAAACACCTAAGGAAATAGAAAGAAAACATTTGTTTTCTTTCACCAGTAGTGCTCTGTTCTAGGGCAAGACAGCCTCATGCCATGTAGTGTTTTTTCTGCAGAATAGCAGCTAGCCTTGACTTTTCCAGCTTCTTTCTGGTTTCAATGTCAAGCCTTTTTAAAAAAACCCAACAAAATCCAACAAAAAAAACCCCTAACTTTTAAAATACAAAGAAGTTATTTTCCCTTTCTTTTATCAGGCCATGCTAATTACTACCTCACCTTTTGATTGTTTTTCTTGAATGACCTTGGTACAGGGGATTTCTTCTTCCTTAAACATCTCATTTGGGCTTATGTTTAATTTTTGCTTTTGCAGGTATTTATCCATGGGTGTTTTTTTTTTTCACATAGTTCTGGCTTGCTCTGAGTCAAGTTACATATAAGACAGAAAGACATCTGCATATTTACAACAGTCATGTTATGAAAGTCTTGCAGGTTGAGCTTTTCAATATCAGATACTGCCTATGGAAATGAATCCAGTTTTCATTGTATTGTTTTTATTATAATTTAACAAATTTGTTTCCAACAGTCTTTTGTTTCTAATACCTCCAACCTACAATCATCTCAGACAATGCATTTTGACTAGTTCTTTGGTAAATTGTGTTTTATAACAGGGAGTGGATGAGTGTGCTGAAATCTCTGTATTGAGTTTTGATTTGTGTGTTTGTTTTTTTAATTAAAGCAAAAATAATGTTATCCAAAGCATTGCATGTGTTTAACAAAAGTAACTGGAAAAAAAAGACAAAAGTTGCGTGCTTATATTTTGCCATAAATATTTAATATATAAATGATACAAAGCAAATTAATGTTTCATTGACAGATGGTCTAGAAATAAAAATACAGTATTTAATTTTCCCATGAAGTTTCTCCTCATACTGAAAAAATGTGTACTGTTTTTCCTTCACAGTCTATTTTAGAAAAATGCTCTGAAGCTTGTAGCCACTTAAAAACTTGAGTATAACAGAACGCTGCGAATACTTTCACAGCTTCTAAACATTTCTGAAGTACTCAGATAAATTTTATAAGTGAAAAAGTGTGAATACCAATACAGACATCTATATCCATGTCAATAGTGTTGATGTATTACATTATGCTCTAGGTTCTGTTTTATGTAAAATTAAGTTCTAGAGAGTTACAACAGGTTTGTGTACATATCATCTGTAGGTAGCAGCACAGTAAGTGCTGGCTTCCAGTGCTAGGAGTGCACAAAGGAATACTTGTTTCTTGATTTCAGCGATTTCTTGTTTAATATCTTATGTGGGAAAATAATGTTATCTCCTCCATTTTTCTGTAGTGGACCAGATCTATCATCTAGCATCTCCTGCTTCTCCTCCAAATTACATGTATAATCCTATAAAAACATTGAAGACCAACACTATTGGAACATTAAACATGCTGGGTAAGTGGAATCTTTTTTATTACTTAACTTGGTTAGACATCATATAATCCTGACGTAGTTGCTGGGGAGAGGGAGGGATGAAGCAAATGAGTTGTACATTTTAAAAAGTTGTTCATTTAAGCAAAAGAAAGTTGGGTGTATTTTTACCCTCTTTGAAGATTTTTGTCCTTTAAATATATCTGCAAATGAACACTGACAACATGGCTTTCAAAGCACAAGAACTTTGTGCCTGTAAATTGGCTATGGAGTGTGCAGTAATTAAGTAAGAAGTAACAGGAAAAATTAAGAGCGTGGGGTTTTTATAGCACTGTTGTGCTCATAACTGCAGTTTACACTTTGGTGACTGTGGAACATTCCCACAATAACTATAAGTGAGTATTTCTTTCCACCTCAGCAGACTTTGGACTTGGTGGAACTGCACTGGTTTAAACTCCAGACATCAGGAATACTGCAGTCTCTTGCCTCTTGTGCATGCCTTGGCTAGCAAATTCTGAAAGAGCGTTTAATGTCTAGCTTCATGCTGGATAATTACAAGGCAATGTTTTCAGCTATGTCTGCTAGTTTTGATGCTGAGAATGGGTCTGTGAAAAGAAGACTTCAGGCCTTCACTACTTTTTCTCCCATCTCTGTGCCATTTGGTATGATGGAGACTGATCTGAGTGTCAGTGATCCTAAGAACTGTTATGAGTCAGAAGAACTCCTGGACATTAGCGTAGCTGAGTTTCTTATTTGAGTGATACTCTTGAGAGTACTTTTAAGAGAATCAAGTGATTCAGAAGCTATTGAGGTACCAGAATGGCACAGGTGAGAGATTTGCTTCATTTGCCATGGAATGCAGGATAATCTGAAGTGATGGGTAGGGTCATCCAAGCAATTTAAAAGGGCATAATAAAGAAGAAATTATTGATTTTTATCGTATAACATATTATTCTGTATAAGTTTCTGTACATAGCTTGTCTTTAATCTATGTAAAGAAGGATTTGGTAATCATAATATATTATGTTGTTTCAAGATCTTGATTTCCTAATTGGAATGCTTCCTTGGCTTTTAGATTGCAATAGGTTAAGTTCTTGGATCTGGATTCAGTGCAAATGTTAGTCCCAGAAGCAAACACATCACATACAGGTGCTGCTCTGCTGTTTCTTAAGTTTTCTAGTTTGGAAGTGGGAGCTATGGATGTCATTTTCAGCTAAATTTGCCTAGTGAGAGAAATCAAATTCTCTTTAAAAACATGCAAAACAGGATCACACTGAAACAACTAGCATGAGTGAAAGATTCTTGCACTAATTATGTTCTTTCCCCATTGCCCAAAATCTAGGTTTAGCTAAACGTGTTGGAGCACGGCTGCTGCTGGCCTCTACATCAGAGGTTTATGGAGGTAAGAAGAATAAAACAGTATTTAGAGCTCTTCAGATATGACTGTGTAAAAGTATATTTACACATCTTCTGTCAGATACCAGAATGATAGATTTTCATCACTGTCTTAGCTTACTTTTTTAGGAGATGCTCTTCTTACAGTTTAAAATGTGAGAAGGGCATTTACAGTGCTTGCTTTATGTATCTAGTCAAGAGTGGTGGCAGGAGACTGGTGGTGTGTTGTCTGTATCCTTCCTGTGTCCTAGTTTACATCTCTTTTTCCAAAGGGCTTGTGGGGAAATTGAGTGTTGTACTCTAAAGTCCAGATGCCATAATGAAAACCTGAGAAGAAATATAATTTAAATAGTAAATACGCATATCTTTTTCCCATCACACAGGAATTGTATTGTTAAGATTTAGCAATCACAAAGGACGTAACCTCCAAGCTAAGAAAATACTGGTTGTACATGCAGGTTCTTCTGGTGTCTCTTAAAATGTAATATTTGACAGCATCTTAACTGTTTAGAAGTGAGGGAGTGAAAGAATGATGGATAGAATGGTGACAGGATGCAGCAAGAATCTGTAATACTTCCTTAGGTATGTAACAGACCCTGTGCCTGCTAGAGGAACTTCCTTGTATTCTGAAATATGTAATATGTAATTGCTCATAGCAGTCTTGCAAGATTAGTGGAGATCCACAGGCACAGTACCCTGCTCAATGGGAGTAGATTTGACTCTTGGCTGTAAAGAACAAACAGGTAAACAAAAAATGGCCACCTGTGTTACAAGATACAAAACTTTATGACCAAAAAGTTAGGAAGGATGAAGAACATGCCTCTAGGTGTACACTTTTGGTGGAGCAACTTCATTCCAGGAGATTCAAAGTAAATAACCCAGCAGGAGATCATGAAGATGATTGGCCAAAGTGGCCAAAAGATGATTGGTCAAAGTGGCTTGGGGATGTGCAGCATTCCTGCTGCCTCCCAAGCCTTAGATTATCCATGGTCAGGCTCTGCAGAGAAGAATTATAGCCCCAAGGACTCTTCTGTAACTGAAAAAACTCCCTTCTGGAGTATCTCCTTTCCCACAGCATCTTTCCAGGCCCATTCAAGATTGCTATGGGCTTTTATAATCATGTAAAACTTATATGCATTTACCATTGCTCTGTGGCTTTCATGTGGCTCAAATTCATTCATAATCATGTCTGAGCAGCATAAAATCAGGAAGGTTTGATCAGAACTGACTGTCAAGGCTGTTTCAAAAATTAGCTTTGAGCACTAGGAAGTTCTATAGTAATGTATGCCAACTTTAAACCCAGTAGAAATTATGCTGTCCTATAGACAATAAAGTGGGAAATTTAACCAAATATTTGTATTTTTTCTAGCATACAAAGCACACACCATCAAGGTTCCTAGGTGATTATTGTTTGGTTGTTCAGTTTTTTATGATCAATAACTTCTACACTGGATTAAACCAAAGGATTGTCTAGCCTGATTGTGCCTAGTGATAGCTAGTAAAAATGCTTAGGGTAAAATAGAAATGTTAAATACTTTGTGGTATATCACTCTTATCTCTTTAAGAAATGCAGTATATCCTTATTTTCTCCGTTTTTCTTTCCTTGTTTTGTATTTTATGAAATTTGAATATGCTTTACTTTCCTGCTTTACTTACCTGTGCCTCCTACCTAACTGCTGCCTACATAACCTGTAATGCTTCCTTGGCAGCACATTAGGTAAAAGTTGTATTTATGCCCCTGGGGTACTCTGCCTTTGCAGGGAAGAGTTGAGTTTAACCCTCTGTTCACAGGCTCTTTTAGGGAAAGCAAGTGCTGGCTATTCTTTGCTTGTATTCAGTTATTTTACTAGTCTTTCATCTTCTGCCACTGCCATTCTCATGGTTTCAGTGATTGTACTTTAAAGACATTGTGTTAAAATGTAAGATTTTCTAAAATGCAGAATTCAGAGAGAAGCTGTGCTGACTTGTATAATACAAATGCTCTACTGAAAGTTTCATTATATATAATCATTTTTTGATATTTCATAATCTAAAGTGGGTTTTATTTTCCCCATAGATCCTGAAGTTCACCCTCAAAATGAGGATTACTGGGGGCATGTGAATCCAATAGGTCCAAGAGCCTGCTATGATGAAGGAAAGCGAGTTGCAGAGACCATGTGCTATGCATACATGAAGCAGGTATTAAATTTGCATCAGATTCAGTGGTTTTTCTGTAATTATTGAAGGCCAATGTATGGCAAGACTGGAATATGTGTATTTAGGGATAGGAAGGCAAAAGAGAACATCTTGAGTAGGAACACTTATCCTGTTGCAAAATCTGTTTTCTTTAATGGGGAGGTTTTATTGCTCCCATCTGTTGTGTGTTTTTAGATGAGCAGTTTTCTTGTAGAAAATGTGCTTTAGTCTTCTTAAAAGGTATGTCTTTCAGTATAGTGAATAGTCTTTAAACAAATTAAACTGAGGTGACCTTAGTGCACTGAGAAGTCAGTAGTATTGAATAGTGCCGTTACAGATAAATGTGGAATGTTGAAGGAAAATAATCAAAATCAGAATATACAGGTAAGAATGGGGAAGATCTTTAATGAGTACTTCTATAGAAGCAATGTATTTTAAGCACCTTTGAAATGCCTTAAAATTACACAGGTATAAATACAGACCTTAATAATACCTAGCTATGTAATGCATGTTTTTAGACAAACACAGTAACATGAGGATAAAAATGCAATTTAAAATATATTTAAGAAATTATACATGCCAGAGTCCTTTTGTTTACTAACCAGCAGGTAGAAGCTCATTATTAACTAATATAGCATTGACTCTTTACCTGTATGTAAATCTTCCTTAATTGTGGTTCAGCTAGGCTCTAGGAGACTATTCAATTAGCAAATGTGGCATACTAAAGAAAATGGTATCAGTATTTTTTTTATTTGCAGCCTTAATATACAAAAGTATTAATCAAACACAGTATATTGTATAGAATTTTAAACCTTTAAATTATAAAATTCTAAGTGCTTTTAAAAAGTGATTATTTTGAAAAAAGTGATTCTGGAAACAGAATAAAGCTGAAGTCTGATAAGACTTTAAGAGGTGATATTTTAGTATAGTGTAGTAATTTTGTCTTATCTTTTCTACCAGACATAGAAGGCAGAGGTTGTCTCCTTTGTTCTCTTTTAGATCATTTTAGGTCCAACATGGTGATACTGCTCTTGTTCAGGATGATGTCTCCAGTATTTCACTTTTGTAAAATATTCCTTGTCAGTCTGGAAACCCATTTGCAGTTGAAAACTGCAGTTTTTATGAGAAATTCTTGTGCTGTAGGGTATTGCATTTTTTGCAAGTTTGTGGTACACACTGCAGTATTCTTTCAGAAAGGCATGAGTAGGTAATTTTTAAAATCATGGGCTGTATCTTAAAACCACAGCATGAGTCATGATAGCATCTCATAAATTTTATGCAGGATTTATAATGAATAGGAAAGATTTGTAAGGTGGAACATATACATTAAGTAAAAACTTAAGATGCAGATGAACTGTCTGTCCTAGAGGCATCTCTGTGACATATTTCTTGTATTTTGTTATGGGTTAATGAAGTCTGCCCAAGCTTGGCCTATGTTCATATATATTCTGAAACACTGTTGAGCTGGTGTGGGGAAAAGAGAGGGGTGAGTAGTGTTTAGGTGATACACTCTTACTAGTGGAGAAAACCTTACCTTTTGAAAAGGTCTGATTTCCTCTATGCAAATAAGCATTGTGTTTTTAAGAGGATTTTCAGTAGGAATGACCTAGTCCCAAACAATAGGATTTGCAGTATTTCAGGCTAAAATATTTCTAGAATCTCTCTGCTTCAATAAAAAGAAGAAACAGGCAAAGTTATTTTGCATTTTTTGGTAATTTAGTACAAAGATTGCCATCATTATGCACATTGCTAGGTACCTTAAATACCTAATAGTGTTTCCAAAAAATCTGAAGTAAATCTAAACTTCTGCATTGTACTTCCAGACAGCCTGCTTGAATGGGTTTTGAATCTAGTCAAAATTGGCTAATTACAATTCCTCAGTAGCCTGTCCTGACCAAGGCATTCTTAGTGCATTCTTTTCTGCTGGCAGTGTTGTTCTGTTCATTTATTTTGGCCCTATGAATTAAGCATTTCTTCACATTATCACGTGAAATAGCAGTGGGAGGGGAGTTTCAGCACACAGTATCTCAGTGTAAATTTTATGCTTTGTTAGGACTTGCTATTCGGTTATCTGTTCAATCTTTAAAAAATTGCATTTTGCATTCTGGAGCTACCTGGAAGTCTAGGTATTAATGTTTACTCCAATGCTCTGGATTAAATTTAAATACTGACTAGAATCTGATACTACCCTCATGGCAGGGATTTGCATCATCTGCATAGCTGTGTTGTAAATAAAGATACTCAGCATTTTAAATGCTGTGCATATTAAGGGTTTTTTGTGAACAAGATTTCTTTCTTTTCCTATACCACTGACCTGTAAGGAAATTCTCCAGAGCTGAAGCAACACTTCAGGTCACTAGGGAATGTTACAGGAAAATTTTTCTTCTCCTTCCACTTTCTTCATCCATTTTTTCATACCAGCTGTGTGACTCTGAAAGCTTTGGTGGTAAGAAATGGGTTTGGTTGTGATACAGCTATTGCATTAAGTTCTAGTTTTGGAATTGCCTTAGAATAGCTGAGGTGTTGAACTGTAAGCACAGTTACAGCTGTAAAATTGTAGATTGTGTTCAGGGACCTGCATTATGCCCAAAGTATAGAGTCAGATAATTGAGGCTGTCCTTCCTAGCTTGCTCAGGAGCTTTAGTGTTTCTGAAATTGAGATCTCAGCATCACTGTTCTTGCTAAATAATACTAAAAAGCTATTAGTAACAGAGTATTAATGGCATTTTTTTAATACAACTGACAGCATGTATAAATAAAATTCTTTGGACCCAGCTTCATTGTGGAGTATTGTAGCTTAAACACATCGTAGATGGATCCAGTGTACACAGTGGAAGTAATTCTGCTGTGATTGCAATTCAGAGGTTTGGGAACAATTTTGAGAGTTAATGATCTATGAAACACATGGGAAAGAATATGAATCAGTAAGAAAGTGACTATTAGAGCAAGGAATGCAGGCAAGGAATATAACAATTCAAGTAATTTTGGCTGAGACATTGGTAAAGATTTGTATCCGGTCACACTGATACCCCTGCTACTGTCTAGACCTCCCCAGCAGATTTTTTTAAATCCCAGTTAAAATGGAATTTCCAGTTAAAATGCCTGCTGGAGAGCAGACATTTATAGCTTTTCCTTTCCTGATTTTTTTATGGAGGGAGGTCTAACTCATGCTTGCTCTTCAGACAGATCCACGTTTGGCAAAGGAGAAAGCACTGGTAATTAATAGGAGAAGCTTGCCTGATATCCTTGTGAATTACAGCCACAATATACCATGTTCAAATTGTTTTGGTTAAAAAGACTTGGCATTTGAATTGTAACTGGCAAAGACTCATGCTGAAAACCAAGGACAGCTTTGTTTTGCTGGGGAGATTGGATAATTACTGATACATTTTGACTGACAGCTATAGAATAGTCTTGAGTACTTATTCAGAGGAGGTATCTCCATAAGCCATAACAATCTTTTCTGCTTCTTTCCTGTTTCTTTTCATCTGTACAGGCACTGCCTCTTTGAAGAAATTCATACTGATAAATAATAGAGTGAACTGAAGTGTTTTGCTAGTCCACAATCCTGCATTTTATGATTTTGCTCTCAGGCTCTTTTTTTCTGATTGCTCAAGGAATTTACTTTCTGATCAATCTGCTGTGGGAAGGCATTGGCTTGAACTGTGAGGACAGAAGGCAGCTGATCACATTTTATCTCATCATTAGGGATAAATTTCAAGCTCTCTTGCATTTACCAGTATAAATATGAGCCAAAGGGGTTTTTTCCTTTCTCTAGGATGTAATAAAATACTGTACATGACTTACTGCTGCAAACCTGGGGAAGTAATTGACTTTGATAATGGGAATATGGTAGAGGTAGTCAGTCATTACTGCGTGTTACTGATAATATTCGGAGTAACAGGACATAGCTGAGACACAGACAATTAATAGAAAAAGGAGTAGAGTTACTCAACATATAAAAAGGATCACTTGAAACGAGATGTTCATGAAATAGCAAAACGAGAATTATGACAATTTTTAAGTTACTGGCTCCAAAATCTTTTTGTCTGTGGAAGAGTTTCTTTTGAGAAGACAGATGATAGTTTTTGACAGTTTTAAAGAGGGAAATGAAAAATTAGCTGCATAGAAAATAGATTTTTCAAAGCAGTAGGCTGCATAGAAAAGCTGTGCTATGGGATACTATAAATAAAAGGTTACTCATTTTAAAAGAACATTACAGTGGGATGAGGTGAATAAACAGAAGGGAGAAGAAATAATGGATTCATTGTGACTGTGAGTAACTGCCTAATAGAGAATGTGTTGTTTTTCTTTTCTAGATCCCTTGCTAGTTTCCAACCAATACTGGAAAACAATGCTGCTGTAGCTTGTGTAGTGCAAGAGAGGCTTCTTGATCAGCATTGTTGAATGAGTTATTTTTATCTTGAATACTAGCTTCCAAGTGCCTTTTTTTCTGCACTTGCTGTTAATGGCAGTATCTGGAAAGCCCACGTGAAGTACAACCCTTCCTGAAGAAGTCAGTGGCCTTCTTAAGATAAAGTGCTGGGCAAAACAAAGGAGCAGCTCTATAAAAGTACATCTTTCCAAATGCAGTGAAGGCTTTGGAAATGGTTCTGTAATGTGCTGCTGGAAGTATAAATTTGAAATGTTATGCTGCTGTACTGTTTTAGCTAACAAGAAATAAAGAGTCTGTTTCCAGCTGATGCATGGAAGTTTTCCATTAGTTCCATTTTGCATGGAAAGGGATTTCTGCTCTTTCCAGAGTCTCTTTCAACAGGAAAGACCCAGTGGATGTTGCGAAGTTATTTTTTTGGCTCTGTTGTGGATACAAGCTTGTTGGATAAAGACTGTGTATCTTTTCCTGGAGCACAATAGTTACCTCCCTTGTTACTGTTAGTTTACCATTTTGTTGCAGTTGCAAACAAGGTTTGATCATGACTAATGAAATCTACTTGCAGCTAAATGGAACTGAATGTTGTTTGACTTTCTGCATACTGGGAGGTGTTTGGTTTTACCTGTACTACTTGGTGTTTCTGATTTCTCAACACCAAGTAATAGCTGATGTATTGAGTGTCCCTTTTGCCTGTCTCTCACCTGGGAAAAGCTAGTTCTACGACTTTCACAAAGCATCTCTGAGGATTTGTTTGTTTATGAATCACTTGGAGACCTAAGAGAGAAGGTCACGTTTTTCTGCAAGTGTCTCTTGTACATGAAGCTACATTTATTTTCAAGAAAAATGTGTTTCCACTGTCCTGGGTGAAGGTGTGTGAGCTGCAGTTTTCAGCCACAGATGTACCAACAATACACCTTCTTCCAAGACAGGAGCAAGCATTGGTCTAAGCCTTAGTAAAATATGTGGAAAATACAAGCTGTTCTGTGTATCCTCTGAAGGAATGGTCATGGAAGGAATGTTTGCAACTCCAGAACATTGTGCTTGTGACTTCAGTTGAATCAGAGCACACAAAGTTTGCTTCAGGCAATTTTTTTCCTGTAACTGTTACGAGGATGTCTTTTTCTGGGAGGTGGGAGACCAGGTAATATACAGAGGAGGAGGAGGAGGATACATAGGCCTGCACTGAGGTTGACACATTCTTCCCTGCCTTGTGACTGTCATTCTCAGATGGTTGCATCTATCTGCTTAAAGTATACCCTGTTGCTCTGAGCTCAGCAGTATCCTGTTTAAGCTCATAAGGGCCAAACATCCTTCTTGAAAGCTTTGTCATAAATTGCAGCTTGTTCAAATGGGTGTGTCAGTCAGAATAAATCGAGAGAGATTATTTCAGCCTACAATCTCTTAACTGTTAAAATGCATTGTCCCAAAAGGTTCCAGTCTCACCTATTAGTTGCCTTTTGCTTTGAAGATTTGCAAAATATTCCATAGAAGGGACTTCTGGAAATGATAAAAACGTTTCTTGGAAAAAAACTACACCATTGAAGAGTTTGATTGTAATGCATGCATTTACACAGCCTAATGAGAAGGGCACTGGAAGACACTGTGGCTGGGGTTACAAAACCACTTTTTGGCCTTTGTAAAAGATACTTCTCTGACACGTTCAGCTTTTCTAAAGTATAGACTTTTGTAATCTGTGGAAATGCTGCCTTGGTGATCGTGGATATCTGGTGATCGTGAGACTTCACTTATGTGCAAAAATAAAGTAACTAAGTCTCTGATGAAGTAATTTGTTATTGGAAAGGTATTACTGAAAAATCTTCTGAGTTTTTCCTGGAAGAAAATACATGTACTAAAATCATGACCTGTTCTAGCACTGATTTAGATTTGCATTACAAATACTGAGAACTAGTATAAATTACCTTGCTATATGCACTACATTTTTCAGAAGGGATGAGGAGAGATTTGAAGTGTTTCATTATTAGAAAATAATGCATGTTAAAGTGAAAGAGGGATTCTTGAAAAGCTTTTTGACAGGGGAGAGTTTACACTTCTAGGGAGAAAGACACTTTTATTAAGGAAGTAACAGCTCTTTTTTCTTTTGCTACAGGAAGGAGTTGAAGTGAGAGTTGCCAGAATATTCAATACCTTTGGTCCTCGAATGCATATGAATGATGGAAGGGTTGTCAGTAATTTTATCCTACAAGCTCTCCAGGGAGAACCACTCACAGTAAGTGACAACCTCCTGGTGATATGAAGCACTGTTCATCTTTATATTGTGTCCTGATGTGTTGAGAATGAGGACAGATTTTAGAAAATATTGATGTTCCCCTCCTCCAAAAGGTAGTGTTCTAGTATACCAAATTCAGGTGTAGGGAATGACAGGTCTGAAGGTGTTGTGTTAATGGGGTTGATCTTTCTTTCCCAGAAAGAAACAAGGCTTCCAGTTTCAATCTGCAGAAGCACTTCAGCATTCTTTGTAAAAAAAGTTTTGAGGTAACTCCTACAGCTATAATACTTGCAGAGCAAAATCTGAAACTGTGGATAGAGCATTGAAGAGTTTAGGCCAGGGAATAAGTCATGCAAAACAAGATAAAGCTTGGTGTCCTGTGATAAGTCTCCTCTAACCTTAATCTCTTTCAAATAGAGTGCCAAAGCATGGCTACTCCCTGCAAAACTGTGGTGGTAGATATGTACCCTACTGGCGGAGTGAAATCTAGAGCTCTTTTCAAAAAAAGAAAATGGAAGGAGTTCAAATTACGTATGTTCTACAAAGCAGTGCACATCACCTTGCTTAAGTACACTGATAATTCTTGAAAGATTGGTCTTCTCTGGAGGTCAGCATTTGCTTGCTTGCTTGCTATCAGCAATGCTTGGTTGCTTAGGTAGTTTGTTACTATTTTTTAATGTCATCAGCGATAAATCTTGTCTACTCAGGTGTTGCTAGCCTTTGCTAAATTTCCATGGCTTGTGATTACTTCAGAATAACAAGCCTGCAGTGATGCTGTGTTCTCCACCTCTCCTAAAGTTAGATTTCTTTTTTCCTCCAAAGATTTACTGCTTCAGTAGAAACCACTGTTAGTGCTTAGTGTATGGTAGTTATTGTGTGATGCAGACTGTAACACAGTGGCCAGTGTTTACTGGAGCATATGACGTTTAGTCTGCCATATAAATCAGCATTAAGAGTGCAGATCTCAGGGCTTAGTCTTAGGTAGCTGACTAAACCAGTGAACCCAGCTTACCTAACCCTTGTTAGGAATCCCTTCAGCACTACATAGACAGCACAACCATGTGGGTCAGTGCTATTTTCCTATCAAAACATTAAAAAAAAATAAATTTGATTCCTGCAGAAAGAGTTTCATTTTCTTACCCAGGTGTTTCCCCAAATTCACTTATTGGATTTAAGCAAATAGAAGCAGACAAGAAGGTGGAGCTTCTTGTTTTGGTACTTTGTATCCTTGTAGGACCTGCTTGTATCAAAATATGAATGTGGCCGTGTGCTGATTTATGAGTGTTGATGTTTCCAAGATGGCATCCCTGGGCATAAAGTCTGAGCTTCTAAATGCTGTTTAGAAAATTTACCTGCTTATAGAGGATCAGAAGGCATTTCCATTTTTTGGGTTTAATCCCCAGTGCATATAGCAAGCTATTGCTATATTTGGCTTGTCAATTTATTATTTTTTTTAATTCATGCATAGCTTCTCAAGTTTTATTGGCAGTAGTACTGTAGTCTTTTATAAGAACAGAGTGAAAACACTAACTTGGAACTCTTGTGAAGCCTTACGAAATATGAAGCACTTACCTTGTTTTAAAACATACAGTCCATGGAATATTTCAGAGCATCAATAAATGAAGTCTGGAATCCATGTTCTTCTGTGGGAGGGGACACTGGAAGCTTTTATTTTATTTCTATAATTGTCATGCTGTCTAAACTTTAGCAAGAATGTAATTGTAATAGGTGTTAAAATAGAATGTTTTATGCTCAGTGTTGCCCAACATCACTGTTCTTTAGAAAATAACTCTCTGATACTGAAAATTGCTGGGTCTGAGAAAGAACTAAGGAGAGAGTTCTTTAGCTGACCAGGTCAAATAAAATTAATTACCAGCAATAAGCAGTGGCTGATACCTAAAAAAAAACCCAAAAAACCTTTCTTACATCATCACAGAATTTGGCTGACAGGAATACCAAGTGTGTTGATCTCTTTAGAAACTCTGTGTATTTGATCTCTCAGTTCAGAGTACTTGTTCAAATGGAGTAGATAATCTCTTCAGAGAGCAGTGTCACTGAGTTGTAGAAATTGTGGCCTATGCAAACATGATGATTGTTGTTTTGTTATTATAAAGGAAAGATTTATTAGGAGAAACTGAAAGATAGACACTTCATTGTATTTTTCAGCCATTGCTTCTATGTGGGAAAGACAACCACATGGGTGACTTTGCAAAAATCATGTACAAATTCTTAGTTCTGTAAGACTTATCCCACATACTAAAAGTAAAGCTAAGTGCAGGAAGCTCTATATAAATACAGAAATCTGCTTCCTGTTTCTTTGGGAGTCCATCAGGCTCTCATTGTTTGGGAGTCCATCAGGCTCTCATTGTGCCCCTGGTGCATTCCTCTCTGAATCAGTTTTTGGGTAAGCTCTTAGACCCCTGATCTTACCTGATGTGTACTGAAATGTGAATACTTTTGGGCTCTGAATCAGCCTTGGAGAGCACAAGGCTTACCAAGTAACAGATAGCCTATGTACCATTGTACTGCTCTTTCTGTCCTCGAGGAAAACAAGCATGCTTTCTTTTCTGTCCTTCCAAAAGCCTTTCTGTTGCAGCAGATTGATGGTAAAATATGTGTTCCCAGTTAAACTGAAATGTATTCATCACTTCAATGTGCCTACTGATAGCTTTCAGACTATAAGTATTCATGTCCTAGACACTTTAGTGCTGCACTTACTTAAACTGTGAAAAAAATAGTGGTATCAAGTACCATTCTGTACACTTCAAGTATACATTAATGTCTGTTTGAACTTCAGCAATTTGCTCCAAAGTACCAGCATGTAACCTGAGGAGACTTCTTTTTTTCCCCTCTAAGGTTTTGATACAAATCTGTACAGGTGACTTTGTGAGTTGTATCATCTAGAAATTCCTCTGCTTCCTATTTCCCTAGATAGTAATATTTAGAGCCACATGATTTTTTAAATTTTTTTTTGTCCTGATTGCTTTAAACACGGTGCTGTTTCTCAACATTTTTTTTAGAGACCACTAACATTTAGTGGTCTCTTTGAAGCTGGCTGTTGTTAATGAGCAAATCAAAACTGCTCATCATAACCACATCTTAGTAGCCCAAAGTTTGCTTTAAATGTTTGGCACTCTTTTCTGGCTGAGTTCAGGCTGCACCTTCTTTCAGTGTTCCAGGAGAGGACAAAGCATCACTCTGTCCTACACCCCCGAGAAGGTTTCCTTCATGCAGAGTTCTGGTTAACAAAATGCCTAGGGATGTGTTTACTGGAGACAGATCCAAGAGGAAGACGATCTTCAATGAACTGATACTTTGCCAAAGGCTCTGCAAGCACATTTTTTTCCATTCCTGTAACATTGAGCTTGTGTCTCAAGTGTTTCTCCTTGAAACATTTTTCTAGAATGTTTAGGAAAAAATAATTGGGCTAGGGAGGACTGCTGTATTTATTAACTTTCCTATTTTTCATATGGTTTTAGGTCTATGGACCTGGAACTCAGACAAGAGCTTTCCAGTATGTCAGGTAAGCCTTATTTGTTCTGGCTGATAATTTATTTCATGGTTCAGTTAGCCTGGTCAGCTTTGTATGCACGTGCATTTGCTTTACTTTTATTAATCATTTCTTAAATACAAGTGCTCAAAAAAACATGTACCCACTGAAATCTGATTTCAGCATTTCTGACCTACCTGATCTGCTTACTGGAGCTCTTAGGAGATAGCTTTACTTTCAGAAGGGAGACACAGAAGCTTTTAAAAATATCAAGGAGAAAAACCTTGGTTTAGAATTTTATTTGAGATACTAACATGCTCTTCCCTTCCAGAGACAGCAAGTAGCAGACAAGTTTTTAGTGCTGAACAGTTTGTCACTCCTTGCATTTTAATGCAATGCTGCCACCTTGTGTCCTTGGGGCTGCTGTGGTTAGTGTGCAGACTATGTATGAATAAAAGCTAAAAAATCCCATGCTGGACTTCTGGGTTATTTTAAGTATTCTTTACTTGAAAATGTTCTTTCCCTCTGCTGAAAGTAGTATCAGTGGTAAGAGATGTTAAAGAAACCCCACAAGGTCAAATAAGTCATAATGAAAAGGATCTGGATTTCTTTGTCTAGGGCCAAGGTGCTGCATCTGTAGCTAATAATCCAATATAACTTTGGGTTATATTGCTGGGGAAAAGTAGCACCAAAATACTGATTTTTAAAAAACTTAGTCTAAGAATTTTTGAAAATGAGAAAACAATTCAAACAACAGGCTGCAAAGCAGGTTGGTAGTGTTATGTGCCTCTGTTTTACAACTTGCTCTATTCTGTTTAAAATGCATTGGAAATCATATGAGATACAATTTATATACATATCCAGGTATGTTTGGATACTGGAGAGAAGAGGAAATATTAATCATTTTTTAATACAAACACTCACAGAAACAGGCACCCATATAAATCTGATTTCATTTCATCATTCCTCAGCTGTCTAATCTGCTTTACTGGAGCTCTTAGGAGTCAGCTCTCTTTTTGATAAAGAATATTATTTATAGAGAAGTGGAAATTGCCCCAGTCTGTTCTTCTCTCTTTTATAGTGATCTTGTGAACGGGTTGGTGGCATTGATGAACAGCAATGTCAGCAGTCCTGTCAACTTGGTGAGTATGAGTGCTCCACTCTCCTGAGTTACAGTGCACTGGTCAACACCACTTCTGTTTTCCTCCTTGTCACTGATACTGATTTCTAGAAAAAGTAAATGGAACAAAAAGAGCTATTTCTATTATGAAGAACGTATTCACCGTGTACTCTCTTTGTAAATAAGAAGACTAATCCCCTAGATATTGAGATCTTACAGTTCCAAGAACAGGATAAATTTGCTGGAGTTTTTAATTTGTTTTAGCAAGAAGATGTATGTAATTAGAAATGAAGGTTAAAAGAAATTTGGAGGGGGTCGCAAGTGCAAAGTGCACCAAGAAAATGAAGACTGATTTCAGTAGGAAAAAAGCACTGAAGGAGTACTTAACTCTAGATAATTAGAAGTAATTTCATACTATCCTGGTTAGAGGAAAATGTGGCATTGCTTAAAGTGCTTGGAACTTAACTTGTCTAGTAAGATTTTTGTTCTGTCCTGTTTGTTGTCACCTTATTCTTAGTAGTGTAGTTAAAAATAGAAAAAGGACGCATATCCCAAGTAATTTCTTGTGTATGCCAGCTTTTGCCAAATCAGATACTCAACTCTGCAGGGCAGTAGTTCACTAGATTTTCCTTTTCTCCTGTGGCCATGAGTTAATTTCTGTGTTTTTATCCAAATGCTGATATGTTTAAACTCTATCACATGCTTTGTCTTCAGAAAACTCAGTATTTAAATCTGTATGTATCTTAAGTGCTCAGCTTTAGGTCAAATGAGATGTGGTAAAGAGTTTTGAAATAAGGAAAGCTAGAGATGAAGGGAATTGAGTCTGATGAAGGTGAGCTAATGCTAGCAGAAAATGTTCACATTTGATTGTGAAATGCTGATGAGGAAATTATGTGCAAGATGGTTAAAAGAAAAAATAAAAGGAATACTGTATAGCAAAGCAAGTAGCCTTTATGAATTGATAGGTAAGTTGTAGTAGATTCAGAAGCAGTTTTTTGCAGCTAAATGAGAATGAGTCTGGGTTCCTAACTTTGGATGAACCAAGAACTCAGCTTATTTCTTCATGATACCTGTCCTCAGCTGGGCACAGTCCTTGAATCCAGATTTGCAAATGATGTGGCTGTGTGGGCTGCTCAGTGTCGTAGGCCTTTACTGTGATTGCCAGCTCTTTACAGACTGACATTTTGGGGGGGGGATGACAGGGAACACCACCTCTCTACATACACTGAATTACCAACGTGAATATAATGGAGAACAAATTTCCTAATGAGTAAGGAGCTTGTCAAAGTCTATTTTTTTTATTTTTTTCAACAAGGTAAAATAAAGTTTAAGGTTTAGCTTTTTCAGAGTTTAATATGCCCCTACTGGAACCATCTCATGTCTTGCATGTTGTAAGGTGTTTAATTGTTATTGAAGTGAGCATTTCTTTTGTTTGTAGGGAAATCCAGAAGAGCACACTATCCTAGAGTTTGCTCAGTTAATTAAAAAACTTGTTGGTGAGTATGATTAGGAATTCTTTATAAAGCTTATGAAGTACTTACTGTAGTTAGATAATTATTACTTGATTACTGTGTGTAATATCTGGATAATTTAATTAGTCTTTGGATTTCTTAATAATTTTATCAAAGGCATTTAATCATATTATTAAATATTAATAAGATAATCCAAATCCTCTCCATTATCTGTAAACTACTGCATGACGAGTAGAATGAATATATTTTCTGTGTATCTGTGCAATCTATACCCATTAATTTTTATAATGTCCAGACATTTTTTTAGGTTTGTTTTGGCACAAGGACAATACATAAATGAAATGTAAAATATGTGAATGAGAATGTCCTGCATAATATCTTAGCTGCAATAGGAATACTGTAGGAAGGTGGTTCTTCACAGTTGTGCAGGCTGTGGTCCTTCAACTACCATTAAAAACCTCATGTTGTGGCAACAGTCTTTCTCTGTTCTTTTCACTGTTTCTAACAGTGATTCTTGAAAGTGTTGACAGCATCTAGGAAGAAAAAACTGTGGCTTCCTCCTCATTTTTACTCTGACACCTGTAGCAAATCAGAGCCCTCAAGAATGGAAGCAAATGGTTGTGCTTGATCTTCTAGTGTGGCTCCCTGATGAAACGTCCTTCTGCCATTAGCCAAGGGCTTTTAGTCTGTACATTCCAGAAGATCTGAAAAAGACGAGTTCAGACATATAACACAGAAGCTGATGCATGTGTTGTTTCTAATAAAAGACTATTCCCCCTGGAGAACTTTTGTGAATCCACAATTCAGGAAGGAAATGGAGAAAATCACAGCACCAAACCCACCAGACCCATAGATTGTCACCTCTATTTGTCTGTTCACAAACAACTTGATGTGTTCCATTACACTTAGGGGCGCAGTTTAGTTCTAAAGTGGCATGTAAACTATTTGCTAGATTTGGTTGGAGGAACTGGCCTCTTTCTATGTGTTGTTCTGAGGAAAAGCTAGTGCTTGATTATTTAAATCAGACTGGAGATGATGGACAAAGAGAAACTGATGCCCTTTTGATGCCAGAGTGCTAACAATCATGGAATGGTTGAGGTTGGAAAGCACCTCTAGAGGTCACTTGGTCCAGCCCCTTAGCTCAGGCAGGGCAACTCAGAACCAGCAATAGCCCAGGACCATGTCCAGATGGTCAGTATCTCCAAGGGTAGAGACTCCACATCCTTCTTGGGCCATCTGTGTTTGTTTGTGCCCACTGTCTCTGATCCTGTCACTGGGCACCATTGGAAAGAGCCTGGCTTCCTCTTCTTAATCCCCCCCCCCCCCCCCACCCCCCCAATCTGGTATTTGTA